CAGATCGCTTCTTTTCACTGAACAGAATTCAGATTGCTGAAAAAAGAGCTAACAGTTAGCCCTCCTGGTGAGAATGAGAGTGGATGGCATCTTTGAAAGCAGGTGGGGTGTTAAATTACAACGTGACTGCGAATACTCATGCTTCAGTATGGAAAAGTCCCTCTTAGCTGTGGAATTCTTGCCATTTTACAGCTAAGATTTTATTATGTGGGCCTTTTGAGTTCTCTGGTTCCCAGATAAATACTTTTTGGAAACACCCAGCCTCGGGGCTTTTATACCCCAATATGGGAGTAGAGAAACCTTGTTCCTTCAGTTTGACTTCTTTCCCTTGATCTCAGGGAAACTTCTGCCACTAATCTTAAATGCGTTTTCTCTCTGTCTTCACTTGGCACAAATTTCTCATATTTATCAATAATATTTAGCTTTTAGATACTGTGGTCTTAACAGCTTCAGAGTTGCTATTTTATGTTGTTTATTTTCCTCTTTTTCTCCTCCCCGCTCCCCCACCTCCTGGACTAGTTTGGTGCCAGGTACAACTTAATGTTTCCTCATCTCTGTTGCTTGATGCTAACACTTTCTCTCCACTTTCCACTGAGGGTGTGACTCACCGACCTCCCTGCCTCTAGACTCTACCATCGTGTTAAGGGGCTTCTTCCTGAAGCTTCACACAAAAAATTAAATGTACAGGAGATTATCATACTAGGTGAAGTATGTCAGAGAAAGACAAATATCATATGGTATCACTTATATGTGAATTTAAAAAAAGGTACAAATGAACTTATTTACAAAACAGACACAGACTCATAGACATAGAAAACAAACTTAAGGTTACCAAAGGGTAAGGGGGGGAGGGGTAAATGAAGAGTTTGGGATTAACAGATACTACTGTATATAAAACAGATAAACAACAAGGAGCCATTATATAGCACAGGGAACTATATTCGATAGCTTGTAATAACCTATAATGGAAAAGAATCTGAAAAAAACATATATAACTGAATCACTTTGCTGTACACCTGAAACTAACACAACATTTTAAATCAACTATACTTCAGTTCAAAAAAAAAAAAGGATTAAAATGTACGGGCTCACAATCCTGAGGTTTCTTTAGGACATCAAGTCCAAACTTGTCATCATATATGTTTAAGACCCTCTGCCACTTGGCTCCTAAATTATTCACATATTTTCCTCCTTGTGATCCTGACCAATATTCTCACTGAAGTGGAGATGTACTCGGACACATTTTTACCATCGGACATCCCAGCAACCCTCCTTAGTGCCCACATATCAGTAGTGCAACCTCCTTTATGTAGATTGATCAGGTAGACGTCTACTTAAAAACAGGCTGTTACTGTAGATTGGCTGTTTCCTATAGAAATAATGTTATAAATAATATAAACATAGTGTTTAGTGTCTGGGCTGTCTCATGGATGCCCACTTAGCTGATAGGACCGAATTGATGCAGGACTGAACTGATGCATGAAAAACAGAAAAGAGGCATTACTTAAACATTTGAGTAATTGATTTCATCATGGCAACTTGTACTTAAGGAAGAGCATGAGCATGTTTAGGAAATGAGACATTGAAGGGGGAAGGGGTATAGCTCAGTGGTAGAGCTCATGCTTAGCATGCCTGAGGTCCTGGGTTCAATCCCCAGTACTTCCATGAAAAAAAAAAAAAAGATATCGAAACGAGAATCTCTGTGAGTTTTTAGGAACCTTTATGGGTTTGGGCACTTTTAAAAAGCTCTGGTCATATTCCCAAATGCACAGCTTTCTTTGATACCATTGTGTCATTAAATCCTTTCAAAATATCCTACTTGGATTGGCTCTCTGAGTGAACAGCTGAAGTGAACAGGGGGAAAAAACATTAGAGGAATTTTCTTGAGGTAAGTGGACAAGCGTTGACAAGAGAAGTGAAGGAAGGAGGATGTGTGGGTGTCTGCGTGGCGGTGGTGTTTTGAGGTGGCGTTCCTGGAGTCGTGAATAATGAGGTGAGAGAAGTGAGTACTGAAGGTAATTCCTGTGGGGCTAAGAAAAGAGGTGGGAAGGGAGAGACACTGAGCGGAAGGCTCTTTAGCTGGTCCCCAGGGACAGTCTGTTTGCTGTCTGGGGTGGCCGTGGGTTGGGTGTGGGGAGAGGAAGAGGATGAGACATGAGAGCGAGCCCTGGGGATGCTGACCAGCTGATGGGGGCCTAGCAGCAGGTAGGATCCCCCCACCCCCACCCCGAGAAGGTCAGTTACCTGTCACCAGTTTGGGAGGAAGACCAGCGCTCTATCCAGGTAAGCTCCTGATGAATTAAGTTCACTCACTGGTCCTCCTGGACAGATCTTAGCTAATCTTATTGAGTGCTTACTCTATGCCAGGCCCTGGTTAAACATTTTACATTTAATCCATTCAGTAACTCTGTGAGGGTATGTTTGTGGGGAGATTCTGACCCACTCAAGTTCCTCAACCAGTCAGCGTGAGAGCCAGGTCTCCCCCAGGTATGCTTGATGCAGAATTCACCACTGTGCTGTCGGCAGGAGGCTATTTGGACCAATCCCTAGGTTTTATTTATTTTTTTTAAATTGAAGTACAGTTGATTTACAATGTTGTGTTAGTTTCTGGTGTACAGCATAGTGATTCAGTCATATGTGTATATATATACACACATAGTATTTTTCATTATAGGTTATTCCAAGGTATTGAATATAGTTTCCTGTGCTGTACTGTAGGACCTTGTCGTTTATCTATTTTATGTGTAGTAATTTGTATCTAATCCCAAACTCCTAATTTATTCCTCACCCCATCCCCAAATTTTACATCCGAGAACACAGCCCTGCTGCTTCTTTGGTTTTCACTATGTATCTTTGTGTATGCGTCGGCAAAACACATACAGTGTAGCTAAGAGCAGCAGCAGAAAGGGAAATGTTAATAGTACTGAGTTTTCTAGTTTTCTAGTTCCCTGACAGTTAAATCTCTAATGCAGGGGAATTGTCCTAGAAGAATTCATGAAACGCTTTTAAAGAACAGGGATCCTGGAACTTTTTATTTCATTTCCAGGATTATTTATGTTCAAATTCCAGTAGCGTTTGAAGAGGGTTTCAGCTCTTTGCTAATCGCAGAAGTCATCCAATATAGTAATACCAACATCCTTTGAAGGAAGAGACAGTATAAAACCCAGAGGTTGAGACTAAACTTCCCACTAAAGGGAAGATTACCATATTCCTACAGAGTTCCAGAAAGAAATCTTAAGATATTCTGCGAGATGCCAGGCATTTAAAAATAAAGCGTGACTAATAGTGTATGAAGCTAGAAATGGAACCACTGAAAAATAATAGGGGAACCTGAGAAGGCGTTGTTGAAGTACCAGGGCTTAGAGAGCTCATGGCTGAAAGCATGAGTGGCTGCTTTTGGATCTTTTAGGAGATTCGTGGGAGAAACTGAGATCAGACAGCTTTGGTAACTTTTGGGTAACTTCCAGGAGCCACTCTGGTTGGAGGACCTCTGATTTCTGACCTCATATTTTATGAAAGCTAAACTGTATATCCTTTCCTGCTCTGTCTCCCTGTAGCCTGAAGAAAGGGGTTTGTGTGTGGCCGAATGTGAGCCAGGCCCTAAGGACAAGCAGCGCTTAACTGGCCCTGGTGGGGCTGGCTGTGCCAAGGGGCGCGGTGGGTGCCCAGCGGTCCCACGATCTGGATGCGAGCCCTGACCTCCCCATGCTTCACATTCGTCATCTAAAAATGCCTACCTCCCTTGCTTCACCTCCTTGCCCCGGCTGTGGTGAAAATAAAACAAGATCGTGTGTGAATTCTGGTTTTGAGCATCTCTATCACACATTAGAAGTGCTTGCTTGGGGCTTAAATTTTTGCTCTCATTTTGATGTGACATCCATAATGAGACATATTTGAGAGGTTCAAGGAAAGGGCTTACGTTTAGCTAACTCTTTGTTATTTGGGAAACAATCATTTAATTTGTAGAATTCCAGGACTTAACTCTGTTATTTGCTTTGTTACTTACACTATAGACATGGCTTTTATATCAGAGACAGTGAGAGTGGCAGAGGCCTGAACAACCTGGAAATGCATTTCTCTTTCATGTAATAGTCCAGATATAAGTGGTCCAGGGCAGTTTTGTGGGGTGGGTTTGGGTGGCACATGGAGTCAGGGACTGAGGCGCCTCTGTCGTATTTTACTCTGTGGCTGTCACCTCTTGGTCCAAAGCTGGCTGTTCCAACTCCACCTAGCAGGAAGGGATGACCACAACCTCAGAGCCAGGACTGTCTGTTCACATGCCCGCACTTGGAGACACTGTGGCGTTGAGCGCAGCAACCACATGTTCAGATAAAAATTCAGTGGCTGTGACTGCATATTGCGGGGGCAACCAGCAGTGTGTGCCATTGGGGCTATGCTGTTAGCCTCCCTTTAAGAAATGCCCAGAAGATGGAAGACAGACTGGTTTTATTAATACGTTCTTATAAACAACTATGGGATGACATTTGAAGGGGAGAACAAGGATGTTGAGGCTATTGGCTTAGAAGAGATTTGAAGAGGATTTATGCTTTTCTTTTATTCAGGCTTTTGAAGAATAATTTATTATTCATAGAGTGCTTAGTAGTCCCTTCTTGGCTACATTCCATGTCCTGTGCTCAGTGCTGGGGACTCAGAGATCATGGTCCCTGCTCTCTGAAGGTCCACTCCACAGGGGCAAACAGGTGTGCCAGGCAATGAGGACAGAAGTGTCCAGTGCACCTGTGATGGGAGGCAGAGGGAGGGCTGTGGGAGCTCACAGGGAAGGACCTGCCCGCCCTGGGCAGGTAGGGTGTGTGCGGTGCGATGCAATGCAGGTGGGGCGAAGTCACTGGCCAAGAGGTGTGACTAGGAGGAGGTTTACGTCTGTATCACCTTGAACAGTGATGGGTCCCCGGGAGAGCAAGTGAACTGACTGGTGAGGAAATGCTGTTCTCCAGTGTCATGTCCATGGCTTCATGTTTTTATTTCTGTTTCTCTTCTAGAAACTCTCCGCGTGGGCGTTGGGACCCTTTGTCACAGGGAGCAATGCTGCCCCGGTGGGAACTGTTCCTTTACCTGCTAACTTCCCTGGGCTTCCACTTCTATTCTTTCTATGAAGTTTACAAAACCTCCAGAGGTAAGGTCCCAACTTCTGTGAACTTGTATCAAGAAAGAAAAGAGGGAGGGAGTGCTCAGAGGTGGAAGATTCAGGAAGGTGGCCTCATGGGCTTGGGGTGACTTGAGCCCCACTTGACTTCCCCCTTGTTTTGGAGCGTTTGAATCAATGACCTGAGTGGGTGGCATCTTCCCCCCTGATTCTGGATCTTTTAGGCGAGCCTGTGGCTGGTCTTCTGTAATAGGAGGGTTTAATTCAATGGCTGTTGAAGGCCATGGAAGTGATTTGCATTTGTAATTTGCAGTAACCTCTTAAAGTTCTCTCTCGCCTTCACTCCTCTTGAGACATGTGGAGGCAGCCAGAGGCAGCCAGAGGCAGCCATGGCGTGGGAGCCCTCCTTTCCTTTAAGGGCAGCTTGGAACATTGACCTGGTCACTTCTGCTCACACCAGTTGGACAGCACCCAGTTCCATGGCCACAGCTAGGAGGCTGGGAAATATTGTTAGCTTGGTGGCCACGTGCTACATAAAACTTCCCATTACTGGGGAAGAATGGAAGAAAGAATTTCAGAGGGTCCATGAGTGGACTGTTCCATAGTCAGAGACAGTTTCCTAGAGCTGATGGTGAGCCTTGTCTTAAGGAGGAACAGAAGTCAGCCAAGTGGAGGGAGGGGGCAGAGGTGAGTTTGCAGGCAAACGGACAAGTGTGTGCGGTGCCACTGGGGTGTGGGAAAACACGGCATGACCTGGGAACTCCAAAGCACTGGGTAGGACTGGAGTGTAGAGTGTGACGGGAGGGAGAGGGGCAAGAGTCGAGCTTTGCTCAAAGAGCACGGATAGATTGTGAGCAACATTCGTGTGTTATTTTGACTGAGGAGCTTGGACTTAAAGGCAGGGGGGTATGCTGAAGGTCACTGTGGGCACGTAAAACGGCAAAGGTAGGTAGGTTTTGGGAAGCAGCTGACAGTGCTTAGTGTTTGGTGTCTGCCTCCCTAAGGGTCACTGGGATTGCTTTGCTTCCATTCTACCTATGTCCCACTCAACGCTGTGGGCGTGGCTGCAGAGCCTGACCATCTAAAGTAGATGGAGATTGTCTGGTCAAAGCTGTCCAAGGAGCTGAATTCCCCTGCTGGAGCCTCTGAGCTCTCAGGGCCTATGGGCAAGGAGCTCACCTGCTCTGGGTCAGGTACGATGTTAGGTACTTTGTGTACCTTGTCTCACTGTATCTTTAGAACAGCCCCACGAGATGGTGTATTACTTAGAAGACAGGCTTGGCTGCAGCAACACAGCCTCCAGAAGAGCTGTGGTCAGGGCCAGTGTGGTAGTAGACAGCACTGATAACCCTGGCTCCTACCATGCGCCTCTGCCACCCTCGACATGTGGTTCCACCTCATGATGGAACCTCCAGCTCCAGCTGCCGTGCTCACTTTTTCCCCAGCAGGAAGGATGGACGGGGAGGGGAGGACAGGCCCTCTCTCTTTCAGAGCATGACCCTGAAAGTTGCTTATAGCGTGTTCATTCACATACTGTTCTCTAGAACCTAGTCCTGTGGCCGTATCAACTATGAGGGACGCTAGTAAATGTCATCTTTGGTCGGGAAGTCATTTTTCCAGCGAAACTGAAGGGTTCTGTTACAGAGGAAGATAGAAAGAATGGATGTTAGTTTAGTCAGCAGTCTTTTCCATAAATGGGCGCCATAGTTACCCGTTGCTACCTAACAAGCCATCCTGAAGCTTTGTGATTTAAAACAGCCACCACCATTTATTATCATTCACTGTTCTGTGAAGTTTTTTTCCTTTTAAATAGGCTATTTTTTTAGAGCCGTTTTAGGTTCACAGCAAAACTGAGCAGGAAATACAGAGAGCTTCCATATACTTGGTGCCCCCACAGAAGCACAGCCTCCCCGAGTATCAGCATCCGGCACCAGAGTTGTACGTTTGTTACAGCTGAGGAACCAGTATTGATACCTCATTATCGCCCAAAGTCCGTAGTTGGCAGTAGGGTTGGTTCTTGGTGGTGTTCATTCTGGGGGCTTTCAGAAATGTATATGTGTATCCATCATACATGGATAGTATCCTAAGTGTAGTTTCACTGCCCTAAAGATCCTCTGTGCTCTGTCTGTTCATCCCTCCCTCCCCTTTAATCCCTGGCAACCACTTCATCTTTTTACCATCTCCACAGTTCTACCTTTTTCAAAGTGTCACGTGGTTGGAATCATATAGTATGTAGCCTCTTCAGATTGGCTTCTTTCACTTAATAGGCATTTAAGTTTCCTCCATGACTCTTCAGGGCTTGATAGTTTATTTCTTTTTCGTGATAAACAATATTCCATTGTCTGAATGTACCACAGTTTATTCATTCACTTACTTAAAGGCGTCTTGGTTGGCAATTATGAATAAAACTCCTGTAAACATCCATGTGAAGGTTTTCGTATGGACATAAGTTCTCAGCTCCTTTGGGTAAATATCAAGGAGCAGTGACTGGGTTGCATGGTAAAAGTATGTTTATTTTTGTAAGAAACGCCAATTTTCTTCCAAAGTGGCTATATCGTTTTGCATTCCCACCAGCAATGGGTTCCTGTTGCTCCACATTCTTGTAAACATTTAGGGTTGTCAGTGTTTTGGATTTTGGCCATTCCGAGAGGTATCTCGTTATTTAAATTTGCATTCCCCTGATGACGTATGTTGTGGAGAGTATGTTCACACGCTTATCTGCCATCTGTATACTTCTTTGGTGAGCTGTCAGTTCAGGTCTTTTGCTCTGGTTTGTCTTCTCATTCTGTTGACAGTGTTTTTCATGGAGCAGATGTTTTTAATTTTATATGTCCAGCTTATCAATTCTTTCTTTCATGGATTATGCCTTTAGTGTTGTATCTAAAAAGTGATTTCCACATCCAAGGTCATCTCGGTTTTCTCCAGTGTTATCTTCTAGGAGTTTTATAGTTTTGCATTTAGGTCTGTGATACCCATTTGTGAGCCATTTGTTCGGGTGTGGATTCTTTTTTATTTTTTTGTAAGCGGATGTCCATTTGTTCCAGCACCATTTGTTGAAGAGACTGTCTTTACCCCATTGTATTACCTTTGCTCGTTTGTTCAAGATTGGTCGAGTATATTTATGTGGGTCTATTTCTGGGCTGTCTGTTCTGTTGTGTGGATCTCTTTGTTCTTTTACCAATGTCACACTCTCTTGCACACCATAGGTTTATAGCAAGTCTTCAACTTGGATTGGATAGAATCGGTTGTCTGACCTTTTTCTCCTTCAATCTTGTGTTGTCCATTCTGGGTCTTTTGCCTCTTCCTACAGACTTTACAATCAGTTTGTTGAAATCTACAAAATAACTTGCTAGGATTTTGATTTGGGTTGCACTGAACATGTACATTAAGTATGGAAGGACTGATATCTTGACGATATTGAGTCTTCCTACCCATGAGCATGGACTAGATCTCCACTTATTTAGTTCTTCTTTGATTTCTTTCTTCAGAGATTTGTTACTTTCCTCATATATCTAATATATACATATCTTATTAGATTTGTACCTACATATTTCATTTTGGGGGGTGCTATTGTTTTTAACTTCAAATTCTACTTGTTCATTGCTGAGATATAGTAAAGCAATTGGCTTTGTATCCTGCAACCTTGCTGTAATTGCTTATGAGTTCCAGGAGCTTTTTGGTTGATTGTTTTGTTTCTCATGTTATCTGCATACAAAGACAGTTCGATTTCTTCTTTCCCATTCTATACACCTTTTATTTTATTTTCTTGTCTTGTTATATTAGCTAGGATTTCCAGTAGAGTGTCGAAAGGGAGTAGTGAGAGGGAACATCCTTGCCTTTTTCCTGATCTAATTGGGAAAGGCTCTAGTTACTCACCAAGAGAACGAGAAGACAAGTATGTCAGCTGCAGGTTTTTGTAGATGTTCTTTACCCAGTTGAGGAAGTTCTAGTTTGCTGGGAGTTTTAAGTCATAAATGGGTGTTGGATTTTTTTCAAATGCTTTTTGTGTATCTACTGATATGATCATGTGATTTTTCTTTACCCTGTTGATGTGTTGGATTAGACTGATTGGTTTTCATGTTCTGTGAGACTTTGTTTTTAACAAATCTGGATTGGGCTCAGTGGGACAGTTCTGCTTTCTGTGTTGTTAGCTGGGCTGCAGTCATCTGGTGGCACCGCTGGGCTGAAACATCCAAGATGGTGCACTCAGATGATGATCAGCCAAGAGCTCAGCTAGGGGCTGTCAACTGGGATGCCGTGGTTTTCTGTATGTGCCTCTCCACATGGCTTTCGAGAAGGAGTGTTGTATGTGTGCAAAAACATAAACTACAGATCTCTTGAAGCTTAACCTGGGAGATTGTATGGGTCACTTCTGCCTCATTTATTGGTCAAAACAAGTCACAGGGCCAGTCCACATTCAACAGAAGGAAAGACTATGGCTTTTTATGGCTAGAACAGCATACACAGACAGGCAGAGAATGAATTGATGGTGGCCATTTTCGGAGTCTCTACCAACAATGGGTGTTATACGTCTCTACCCAGATGAGGATACTGAAGTTGAAAAATATAGCTTGTCCAAGGCCACACATCTAATACATAATAGAGTGGGTTCGTCCAACTCTAGACCCAATATTTTTGTTCTATTCTGCCACTCGTATTTATTGATAATTTGGTTTCCTAAAGCAGCTTGTTTAAAGGGGAAGCCCTTTTATCTAATCTACTATAAAACTTCAAACCTGAAAATTTTATCCCACTGGAATAGAATTTTTCCTTTCTGTGTGGTGAAAGCTGCTGGATAGAGGTGGGAGGGGGTCCTTCTGTGGAGACTACAAAACTTGTCTCTCCCTCAGTGGATCCAGAGGCTGTCATCCTGTTTGACTTATTACTGACCACGCTGGTCGGTTATTACTCACAAGCCTGGAACTTCTGTCCTTCCTGCTTTTCCTTTTAGCGTCAGTGCCAGAGTGTTTGGCCACTCCCAAGAAAGGTCTTCTTTCTCTAACGCTTTTGCCTGTTCAGCTGGTGGAAGC